AAAAGCACTGCAATATAGCTCAATTTTTAAAATTATTTTAAAGAATTCATCAGAATATTATATTCCCATTTTTAAAGGTACACTGATTCATATGGCATATATTCCTGAAGCCTGATTGGGCACAGAGGGAGGAGATCTCCCCTAGAAATGTGCTCTTTCAGTGTGTGGCACTACTTGTAATTCCAAGGCAGAGATAAAGGTGTGGCTATTGTCATCCAAGAGTGGCTTTTAGGAGCACTGCTTCAGCCATAATTGGATGTGAGATTCTATTTGTAAAATTGGCCTTAGAAATTATTTGAAACTATTGCTCACCTACATTTCTCCTAGTGGCATTGCAACATTCCTGCCTAAGTACTTCAACTCTGTGGCCATGTTAGTGACTTACAGAGGTAGCTCAGGAGTGCATAAACATCATGACAGCCATAGGCTTGATCCAAAGTATTAAGGAGTCAACTCACAATAGAGGTCACACATTAGGTCTGCTTTTTGTCTTGGAGCAACAGCATTATGATCTGAGTTGAGGGATGTTAATATAGGTCACCCAGTTGCCCTGTTTTGGGCGATCTGGTCCTTTCTGGGTAAAGTGGGGCAGGAGGACTCCTTGTAGGTTCGCTGTAAGGACAATTCTTAGCATCTGGTGGATAAAATCGTTTGACTTTACTCTGGATTGGACTGTAGTTAGGCAGTGTCCTAGGAGTTTCAGGTTTCAAACTCACAAATGCTCAGTTACAGATGAAAATAGCAATTTACTCGAGACTGAATAGATAATAACAGTCAAGAAAAGGAATATAAATCAAAACACAGTCTCTGGAAAAGAAAGCTTGCCTGAGTGATTTCACAACAGGAGCATGCAGAAGAATAGTCAAAATCCATTCCAAAGTTCAGAATCATGTCAGGTTTGTCAGACAATCCAAGGTCAGAGTTTCATGAGCAAGATTCACAAGAACAACATGCCAAAGCAGGAAATCAGACAGTTGTTTCTAACAAATAACATAGGTCAAAGCTGCCTCATAAATTAGAATGTAATCACCTATCTTTGGTCAAGACAGTTACTTCCTTGCTTGGCAAGGAGTCTCATTGAGCATCTTTGCTCTGCTTCTACTTTACTTTGCAAATCTGAGAGCTTGGAGACTGTACATCATCATCTGATCCAGCTGTTCTGATGGTGCCTGTATTTGATCAGTCTTAATTCTGGCTTGGAATCTCCTACGGCTGACATTTTAAGGATTTAGCTAGAGCAGAGTGAGTCATGGGCCATGATAGGCATATTTATTTATTTATTTATTTATAATAAGACTTATATGCCGCCCTTCTCCCCCATGGGACTCAGGGCGGCTCACAGCATATTAAAAACAATACAAAACATTTCCCTATAAAAGCCAATTAAAAACCAAATATTTGTAGCTGTGTCTTGTTTAAAATCATTAAAAATTGTCCCTATTTAAAAATTCACCCTAGGTCA